GGACCATCAGAAACCTCCTGATGGAAGTTGTGGCTGCTAGATCAACATGCACAGCAGAAGATACATCCAGGAAGTGAAGGGAAATCTCCTTTGGATGTACAGGGGCCAGAGGGATGGATGGAAGCACTATGTCCTGGTTGTGCTGAACCAGGCATTATTATTATTATTATTATACAGGATTTATATAGCGCCAACAATTTGCTCAGCGCTTTACAAGCATAAACTAATGTAGGAAGAAAAGAGTATATGGACCTAAAAGACAACCTTGTCCTTATGTAAGAAAATGTCTCTTTACAAAACAAGGCAGCTAGATTAGATACATGCGTAACATAGGTGATGGCAATAAGAAAGACCAGATGTGTGTAAGAAAGGAATGGGTATACCTGATGGGTTCAAAAGGCATTTTTTGGAAAGCAGAATAAAAACCGAATTCAGATCCTGCAAATTCACTGGTGGTTGTGCAAGTGGCGCTATATGACCCTGTACTAAGGACCTAACAACAGAATGAAAAGGAAATAAGTCATTAGAACAGCAAGCATGGGCCAAAATGTGACCCTTAATGGTACTGAGGGCCAAACGCTGATCCAAGCCAGATTGCAAAAACCACAAAATCCAAAGCAGTACTTCCTGGGATGAAAATGTTTTGCATCTCCCAAGCAAAGTAAGCTTTTTAATGTGTGATGGCAGACTTCCTAGTTTTCAAAAGCGTAACAATCAGAGTCAGAAGGGTCCATATCTCTTAGTACCTAGGATTTGACAGCCGTGCCATCAAAGCAAGTGACCACGAAGCAGAATGGTAAACTGGTCCTTGGGACAGAAGATCCAGTCTATCTGGAAGAGCCAATGGGTGACTGTCAGGAATCTGATGATGTACCATATCCATCTAGTCAATCCATCTGGTCCATATCCATCCGTCAATTTAGAGCTATTGTATTCACTAAAGTGAAGCCTTTAGCAGTGTATAGAGTATATTAGATGCCGGGGGTTGCTTGGTACGACTCAGAGAATTAGCTGGATCTGGATCACAGCACAAAGAACAGAGCTCAGCAGCGATGAAATCTTGATAGAAGAAAAATAAATATCCTGATATCAAATGAAAAAAATTGTATAGCAAAAATTGTTACATTTTTATTCAGATGAAAAACATTCATCCTCCTACAATACTAGCAAAAAAATGGAGTAGGAGGGGTTATACCTAATTGGAAAACAAAAAAAGCCATTAGCTAATGTCCAATTCCTCCTGTAGGGGCAGTATAACCCACTTGTGTCTGATTTAATTCTGATCTTGCGTCCTTTAATGAAGGAAAAATAAATGCCTGCTGATCATGTCAGAATTCAGAGCTGCCCTCTGCACACTTCCTGTGTTATCTAAGGCTAATTGGCCCTTATCTTGGACTACAGAACAATTACTATTGTTCTACTAAACCCAATGTTGTGGAAATGAAGAGAAGGGGAGAGATGAAGTAGTACAGTTATAAAACATTATAATTCTGTCCCACCACTGTTGAAATTCTGCCAAGCAGCATAGCCATCTTGGTCACAATATCCTGTGTTTAGTTTACTGCATGTGTCAACAGGCTTTTGTTCTCTTGGAAGTATCGCCATACAAGTCTTTACAAATGTACCCAACCAATGCATAAATATGTGAAACATGGAGGCGGCTGCA